AAGGAGCAGCAATATTCAGGGTTGCAACTCAACTTTCTACCTAATTCTTCCATTGTACAGTAGGTCAACACTAGCATAGAACATAGGCAACCGTTACTTATCTTCCCATATAAGCTTCATCTATTCTTTCATTGTAAACCAGAACTCATGTAATACATTCATTGTTCATCATCTTTACATTCAATTCCACTAAAATCTGCATGCATTGACTAAGAATTAATCTTTATTAGATGGCTCTTAAAATGTAGTATCCCACGTTTGAGTTGACCTTCATTCCAACTCTCAAACAAACCCTTAGGTAAATTTCCATCCCTGAAATTCTAATATTTTGCAATTTTGTCCCTGAATTTGAAGCTTGAACTTTCTACATTCTGCAAGGTGGTCCCTGAATTATCAGAAGTCTGCACATTGGCCCTGAACTTTTTGACAATACACGTGATTTTATGATTATTCATAGTTGTAATTTTCATTTTCTAAACTTAGTGGAGTTATTGTATAATATGCATAGATGCTCTTGATATTACCAAACTTCGTAAATTTTTGTTTGTCTTATTTGTTTCCTTTACATTTAAAATTTTGATCAACGGCAATAGCTGGCATTGGTTTGAAACTCGACCAAACAAAACTTGCACCCCCAAAGGCACATACATGTTGGAAAAAAAAAATTACGCACCAAAATTAAAGCTCTGGTGGTGCACCACCGGAATCTGGCAATGTAATTACGAGATGATCTGACGGAAGCATAATATCCGCACGACAAAGGGGACAATTACGATGACTATCCAACCACTTGTCGATACATGATATATGAAATGTATGTGTACATTTTGGCAATACTCTAACTCCATCGCCTTCCTCAAATTCGTTCAAACACACAGCACAAACATCATGTCCGGATTCTCTAGTGTGAGTCGAAGTAATGATGAATTGCATTGTTGAATTGCTCAGGCTGGTGGCACTCGAGGCATGTTCTTGTCCAATATTGCTCATAGTTTGGCTTTGATTCGCAATATTTGTTCTTCTATGCCTTAACAAGCATTCCCGTAACACAAATATACACTGGCATATTGCAATATTTATAGCACCAGCCATGATTCCAAAAAATCCGATCAATATTGGGCTCATTTTAAGTCAGTGTGAATTATTTCTGCCTTGTTTGGAGCATATATATATATTGTGTGTCCATCTCTAACATTTTTTATTTTTAAATTTAAGTTCACAGTCAGCTAGCGTTACTGGCACTTCCATTGGGTGAAATAAATGACTTCTTTTTTGGAGCCAATAGACCCTAGTTTTGGATTTTTGGAAGTCTGTATTTGAAGTTATTTCAACATGCAAGCTAGGATTTTTGTAACTTAATCGTTTGAAACCTTGTCGTTCTGAAATTAACTTTGCTTCATGGATGACAAGACCCCTAACATAGGATTTCTCGATTGTCTATCGACATGACAATCAAGTATATTGCGCCAATTGTGGTCTCGATCCCATCTATGAAGAATTTTTATCTTATATTTGAATTGCCCAATTCACGAATTTTTTGAATCGAATTATTTTGCTAATCTATAATTTATTTTAACAAAAATATATTATCTATTTCATAATATATCAAGCAAAAGAAATATTCAAGTTACTCCCTTACAGGTCCAAGGAAAAATAAGTACAATGTGATTGTGATTAAAAGTTTCCTTTTTATAAAATAAGTTAATTTACTTTCAAGATAAACAATTGTGTTAGAATAAAAAATAAATTTAAAATTATTTGATAAAATAAATTTTATTTACAGACAAACGTGGCAATTAGAACCATGAGAAATTATTGAAAATACCCA